TTTTGTTCGAGTGTCTGCCTGCACCCAGTGATACTTAGGGCTCACTCTTGGCTCTGTGAGCAGGGATCACCCCTGGATGGACCAGGGGACCATAGAGGTGCCAGAGATAGAACCTGGGTCAGCCGTGCGCAAGGCAAGCCCCTACCCGCCGTACTATCGCTCCGATCCAGTTCTGTTCTGTTCTTAATAAAAGGACCCCCACTTCTACATCTGATAAAATGTCCCAAGATCTTTTCCTTCTTACCTAACAAGTGCAAATTCTATTCTATTGCCTACCAGCATGAGCGCCAGCGAGCGCTCTTCTCACGCCAGCCTGGAGGTACTGCCCCCAGCACTAGCCCCAGACCACCACCATCACCACCTCCGCTCAGTCGCCCCCCTGCCCTGTCCACTCCCTTCCCGGCTGCCTTAACTGACCTCTCCCTCTGCAATAGTTTGCATGAAATTTTCCCAGGAAGTCTCTCCCCGCTTAAGGTCGCCGTAACCCCCGCAGCCCTCGAGCTCGCGTTCAGGAAGCCCACCCAGGTCTAGGGGAGCTGCCGCCCCGCTGAACCCGCCGGGTCCTGCAAATTGCGCGGTGGCCCCTCCTGAGCTCACCAGCGCTCTCAGCTGCCCCCTGAGCTCGGCACCCCCGCACTGGGCCGGCGCGGCGCCCCTCGGACCCCCACCTGGGCGGGACCCTCCCTCAGGTGGTCCCCTCGAACCCCCACTCCCTGCCGCTGGGCGGACCCTCCTGCCGGCGCCCCTCCGCGGCGCCCCCGCCCACGCCCACGCCTACCGTTCCTAGCATGGGCGGGACGCTTCTGCCGGCGCCCCCTAGGACCTGTTGCCCGCCACCCACCCCCACCCGGGCGGACCCTCCCGCCCCCGCCTCCCCCTCCCCGCAGCCGGGCCTCACCGTCCTCCGGGGAGAACAGCACCAGGAAGCGGCCCGGGCTCCCGGGCCACGGGCGCACCTCGCACTCGCCGCCGCCAGACTTCCTGGAGCTCTGGAAGTACATCTGCAACTTGGTGCTCAGGTTCCGCGGGGGGTCGGGGCCCCAGGAGCCCTCGACCAGCAGCGGGAAGGAGCCGGGAGCGGCCATCCCGGCGCTGCGCCGCGGTCCGACTGCGGCGCCCGGCCTGGACCCGGCGGGTGCCCCGCGGCCCTTTCGGTTTCGTTTCCTGGAAACGGAACTTGCTGGAGACCTGTGATAGTCGCACCTAGGTCCGCCGCCGTGGTCACCCGGCCGCTTCGTTCGGGGCTCCGGCCGGGACCCCCCGCGTGCGGCACTGCGGGCCCCCAGACCCGCACGGACTCCGTCGGCCAAAGGCGAACTGGGGTCTCGCCAGCGAGACACAGGCCAGGCGAAATGTTCGCAAGGCTCAGGGACTGGTCGGGCGGGGCCTTTCTGAAGCATCTGAAGCTCGGAACCGACCTTGCTTCCCTCCCTTTGCACCCTGTTTTGATGCGTTAAAGACGAGAAGGAGAGGGAGCGGGCAGTCACGGTGGTTCTGGAGCCTTTGGGAGGCCGCGAGCACCCGAGGGGAGTTTAGTGTCCCGGGCTCAGAAAGCCGCGCGGGCTCCCGGGACCCTGGGGAAGGAGGCAGGTGTCCCCGCAAAGCCCAGCGCCCCCCGCCCGGTGGCATCTGGGGTGTGGCTCATTTTCAGGCTGCTTAAAGGAATGTGCACGGAGAAGGGCGGGTCTCCCCAACGCTGGGAGAAAGGGAGGGCAGGTGGAGATTGGGGCGTGGGAGAAATTGGAAGAATTCTTGGAGGCACCCGAGCCTCGGGAAGGGGCCCCTCTTCTCACTGCACCGGGAAGCAGAGAGGAGGTACAGAAACAGGCAGATCTGGTGGGGGGTGGGGGGACTTCCCCGCAGATGACTTTCTCCTTGAGGAAAGAGGCAGGCCTTTTCAGGGATCGCAGCGACTTCCCAGCAGGGTTGGAGTTTCATAACAACGTTGAAGCTAAATCTGCACATGGGAAGAGATGGAGTTTTCTGGACTTCTTATTCCGGGCCCAGAATAATGCTCCCCCAACCCCGCCCCTCTGCCCAGCTTTCCAATTGAGGACGGCATTCATCCTGAGGTCTGCACCGCCTCAGGGGATCCCAGAAGCGCACAGAAGGGCCAGCCAGCGCTTCCTCTCAGCCACCAGATGGCGCTATTTCCTTCGACCACAACTAAAATCAGCGTGCGCCTATTTGAGTTTGGGCCTTTTTAAAATATTTATTTTTTTAATTGAATCACTGTGAGATAGACCTTGAAAAGCTGTTCACGATTTTAGGTTTCAGTCACACAGGGTTCCATCACCCATTCCTCCACCAGAGTACATTTCCCTGCACCAGTGTCCTCGGGTTCCTTCCTATCACCCCCAACCCCCTGCCCCCCAGCCTGCCTCTATGGCAGACATTGTTCTTTCTCTCTGTCTCTGTTAGAGTTTGAAGATCTAGCACTGGTCAATCAAATTTTCTGTTTTTCCACACATATCAATTTACAGGAACTAAACCACTTGATTTATTTTTATTTGGGGGTTGGAGCCCCTCCAGGCTGTGTTCAGGACTTATTCCTGCCTCAGGAATCACTCCTGATGACCTTATGTGGTGCCAGGGATTGAAGCATGGTTGGCCATGTCCAAGGCAAGTGACTTATAGTGAGAACTTTAATTCACACTTTAGTCTTTTCCCCAAGGATTTGTTTAATTGTCATCAATATATCTTGTCAGGGCTAGAGCGATAGCACAGCAGTAGGGCGTTTGCCTTGCACGCAGCCAACATGGCCGACCAGAGTTCGATTCCTCCACCCCTCTCAGAGAGCCCGGCAAGCTACCGAGAGTATCTCGCCCTCACGGCAAAGCCTGGCAAGCTACCCGTGACATATTTGATATACCAAAAACAGTAACAACAAGTCTCACAATTTGTTATGAGATGTTACTGGTGCCCGCTCAAGCAAATCAATGAACAACGGGAGGACAGTGCTATAGAGCTATATCTTGTCACAGAAATCTGCTCATCATTCTTGCTTGGGTGGACCAGGAAGGAGCCATTAAAAGATCGGATGACAGGTCTTGAAAACCAAGGACAGAACATTCTGGAAGGAGTGGATTATTAAACATTACCAGCCTGTGAAGTTTCTGTCTTCCTTGCTACCTTGTTTAGACCGGCTTCAGTTGTTGACCTTGTGTCCCCCGCCCCCACAGTGTGTTTGCCCTTGCCCTCTCTCAGCCCTGCCTACTGACCAGGGCTAGATATCCAGCACCCCATATGGTCTCCAGAGCTCACTAAGAGTGATCTGTGAGCACAGATCCAGGAGTAAGATGTGAGCACAGTAAGATGTGCAGCCCCCGAGAAAGCAAAAAAAAAAAAACAGACCTCTGTGGCAGATTGAAAGCTGTGAGTGTGCCATCACCAAGTCCAGGGTAGAAAAGAGAGAAACAGCTACACAGTTGTATGTTCAGTCATGCAATAAATACATACAAATAACTCAAGCATAGGATAATAGTAGCAACCAATAAAATAATTAGGAAGTTGTAATTACATTTTAAAATATAATTTATTGGGGGAGGAGTAAATACCTGTATGTCGACTAAATGACCAAAGAAGTGAATCACGGGCCTTGGGGAGCCCTGAGATTTTAGGGAGAGATGAGGGGACTGTGAGGAAGGCTGGATAACTGCAATAGATTATTGGGGGGACTCTCAAACACTGACTTACCAGAGGGAGGGGGCAGTCAGCATGGACTAAACAGAGAGACTGTCCTTGGGAAACCAGGAGACACTGGGAATAGTGGTCCATAGTGGTAGAACTGGGGGAAGTGGACAGAGAGCTGACAACTGCAGATGCACCAGCAGCAGTCAAGGAGCTAGGGCTGAGGGGGAGATAAACTCTTGCCTCTGGGGTGCCTCAGGCCAGCAGATTATTCCCACAGTTGCTAGTTCATCTCTTGTCCAAGATGGGGACTGACAGCTTAGGCCGTGACTCCTGAAGCATGCAGCTAGAGTCCTAGTGGCAGGGGAGATTCAAGTATGAAACTTTGGAGCTGAGCAAGTCATACCTGCGACCTCCTTATAAGGATGCTCTGTTCTGCTTCTGGCCTTGGGGAGCATCTGTCCTAGCCACACCTGGGGCCACTGCTGGGTTTGTGCTCACACAGCAGCAGCATTTCTTAACTGGAGGCCATGTGACTTCTTGTGGATCCCCAGGATATTTCAAGAGGGCCACAGATGAAAATCTTATAAATGAGGGAGCATAGCATGAGATTAGGGTGACAACCAGTAGGATGAGGTAGGTGGCATGGAAAGGAAACAAGGTTGGTTGGGGATTACACTCTGAAAAAGGTTGAGAGACACTGACCTAGTGTTTCCTGCCTCTAGTCAGAGGCGAGAGAAGATGCACAGAACAGCTTGTGAGGCAGGCACTTTTCTGATTGATTGCATCTGGAGACCTGGACAGTCTCTCTTGCTGTGCCTGCCTGTGATCACTATTGACATAAAGCTCACACCCACCGTTCGGACATCACCCTTCTCCTCCTTAGCTGTCTAGCTTACAATAGCAGGTAGAGCTATACTCGGGTCGGATAACACATCTGATATAAAATTTTAACATGTGGAGGCTAAACAACAGTTATCTAAACAAACACTGAGTAAGTTAGAAAATTAAAGGAGAAATTAAAAAATACCCAGAGACAATGAAAGTTAAAAAAAATGTATCACAGTCTATAGGAATTGATATTAAGTTGAAAGTTAACATATGTATATTTATAGTTGTTACACTCGAGTTCTTTTTTAAATTTATTTTATACAGTAGTTCACAATATTTGATTACATTTAATATTCGGACACCACTCCTACCACCATTACACCTTCCCACCACTGTATTTTGAGGTTCCCATCCAAATCCCAATCTCTGCCCCAAAGCTGAACTGAAATAATTTATTTTGCATTGTTTATTATGAATAAACCGCTGAAAGTGCTTCAAAAACATTTTCTTTGAGGAAAGTGTGTGAAGACTGTTGTATTTCACATAGGGGCCATTGAGCCATTCTATAAGAGATCATTAACATGTTGTTAAAGGTTGAGCCTTATGAATGTGTATATATATATATATATATATATATATCTGTAAAAACTATTTCCCTATAGAATTGGTTACCTCTCCTTTAAACCCCATCAAATGTGCTGTGCTGCTCTTGGAATATTAATGGTGTGAGGTATGAGATGTCCAGGAATAGGTTCACTCATGGGTGAGGCTTGGCTTGAGCTTGTGAAGAATGGACATGGGCATGGAGCGGTTGAGATTTTGGCAGCTGGGGCTCCTAGCCTTGGGGCAGGGAGAGTCACCCGCCCTCCTCCAGGGTGCCCTGAATGAAACAGTCTGTTAAGGGGTCCAGTGGCATGGATATGGCCAGTCGTTTTATGCTTTCTTCTGAGAGAATTTATGAGTCCCTGCATCATGGCTGTTGAGATTATCTGGCGCCAGTCAGAGGTGGTTTGTGGGCGTGACTGCTAAGTTGTTGAAAACAGGGGGAGACGGGGGGAGTTCACCCACTCCCTGTTCCATTGAACTTGGAGTTTTCAGTCACAAATCCCACATACCTGGGTTTTCTGTGGATTCACTTATGGGTAAGGCTTGGCCCGAGTGTGTGGATAGCAGCTGTGAGCATGGTGGCGGTTGAGTTCTGGAGGGTTTTGGCTGCTGGGCTTGGGTTCCTTAGGGTGGGGCGGGGCCTCACTTACCCCCCTCTGAAAGCACTCCTTTTCATCAAAGTCTTTGATACATTCATCTTCACTGATACAAGAATATTGCTCCTTTATAATCAGATTCTGTATCCAGGAGAGGGCACTTTCCACACGTCAACACACACTTGAAAAACTGCCATTTCAGTTTGTTTTTCCAAAACCAAGGGATTGTTTTCTGGGAAAAATTATTTTGTATTGGCCAAATGTGCTATATTAAAAAAAAGGAATAAAGGTGAGGTTAGATCATTAAATTTTTCCTTACCATGGCACACATCTTTACCTTACTTATTTTATAACTGAAAGTTTACACTACCAAATCCTGTCCATCCATGTTGTTTACCTCCCATCTGTTTCCTCTGGAAGCCACCAACGTTTTCTCTGTATTTATGAGTTAACAGTTAATACTTAACTTATAAGTTAAGTCCTTTTTCCAAATCGTACACATAAGTGAAATAATACAATATTTGCCCTCTGTTAGACTTATTTCAGTTAGCATCATTCCTTCATGGTCCTTTCCATGGTCCTTTCCTATTGCTATAAATGACACGAATGACCCCTCTTCTTCTCTTCATTGTAATGTCATTACAACGTCCAGAGTCACATGCTTACTGAGGTCTTGCACATTTGGTTGTACTTGTTGTGGCATTAAGACTAACAATATCAGTTCTTGGGATTGAACTCTTTGCCTCAATCATGTAAAGCACACACTCTACAACTGAGCCACATCTTGGAACCCTTTAAAATGGATGAGTAATATTTTAGTTTATTTATACACACATCTGGGTGGAGGAGGCCCAGTCCCGATCTGAGCAGACTTGGAGATCTCAGCACCAGGACCCACGCACCTGGGTTTCTCTGCTGGTCTGCTGGTTCCTTCATGCGTGAGGCTCATCCGAGTGTGTGGAGAGTGGCCTTGAGCATGACTGTGGCTGGGTACCAGAGGTCTGTGGCTGCCAGGACTCTGTTCGGCTATGGGGAGGAAAACTCAACGCGCCCCCAGATCCCAGATGCTCCATTTTCCAGTAGCTAGACAGTTACACCCACAAACTGCCCCCAGTGCCATGAAATCCCATCAACAGCCAAGGTGCAGAGACTAAAGAACAAAGCTCCCAGCAGAAAGCGACACAGAGTCTCTTGCCCGTGAGCCAGGGTTTCTTCACCAGGGCCCCTCAGAGGGAGGCAGGTTGAGTTTCCCTCCCTGCCCTGAGCAGAGCTCCAGCAGCTGCAGACCTCCCATACCCAGCCACAGCCATGCTCAAGGTCACTCTTCACATACTCGGAGGAGCCTCATGCATGAAGTAACTGGCAGAGGAACCCAGATGCGTGGGTCCCAGGGCTGAGATCTCCAAGCCTGCTCAGATTGGGTCTGGGTCTCCTCCACCCAGATCCCCCATTTTCCAGTAGCTAGGCAGTTACACACACAAACGGCCCCCGGCGCCATGAAATCCCATCAACAGCCAAGATCCAGAGACTATAAAACGAAACTCCCACATATGGGCCGCACAACCTCTTATAGTCTCCTTCTTGAAGAACCTGGCAAGCTACCGAGAGTATCCTGTCTGCACAGCAGAGCCTGGCAAGCTCCCGTGGCATATTAGATATGCCAAATACAGTAACAATGATGTGTCTCATTCCCCTGACCCTGAAAGAGTCTCCAATGCAGCACCATTGTGAAGGACAAGTAAGGAGAGGCTGCTAAAATCTCAGGGCTAGGACAAATGCAGACGTTACTGGTGCCCGCTCAAGAAAACTGATGAATAACAGGATGACAATGATACAGTGATACACACATATGTAAACAGACATATAATGTCCTTTATCCTAACAGTGGGATAAATTTCTACTAGTGGAATTGTAGGCTCACATGACACTTCTTTTTGATTTTGAGAATGACAATGCTATTTTCCATGGAAGCTTCACTAATTTATGTTCCCACCCACAATGCACAAGGCATCCTTTGTTTAAAACCTCACCAACACTTATTATTTCTTATCTAGCTGATAATGGCTGTTATAGTGAGATCTGAGTATGGTTTTGGTTTGCATTTACTCCTTTTGTAATGTTACACACCCTTTTATGTATATGCTGACCATCTATAGGTCTCTTTATGAAAATGTTTATTCAAATCCACTGTCCATTTTTAAAAATTGAATCACTATGAGATACACAGTTACAAAACTTTCCATGATTTAGTTTTAGTCATACAATGTTCTAACACCCATCCCTCCAATGCCCATTTTTGAATCAGATTGTTGTTTATTGAGTAGTTTTATTTCTTACATATTTTGGATATTAATTCTTCATCAGATATATGATTTGTGATATATTCTCCTGTTTAGTAGGTTACCTTTCTAGTCTGAGTATAGTTTCTTTGCCATATCAAAGTACTTTAGTTAGCTGTAGTTCCACTTAGTTTTTGCTTTTGTTGTTTTTGATTTTGGTGTCAACTATGAATATCACTGCCATGACCAATCTCAGACTTACCCATTTTTTTCTGATCATTTTATGGTTTCTAGGCTTACATTTAAGTTGCAATCAAAAATAATTTTGAGAGAAAGAATGTGACTACACGTTAAAGTGCATGTCTTGTATGCTAGAATCACCAGCACTGAAAAAAAATCATCTGGTCGTGTGTGTGTGTGTGTGTGTGTGTAAGAGTTTTATTTAACTCTTTTGCATATGATTGTTTAGTTTTTCAACATTATTCATTGAAGAAAATTTCTTTTCCCTATTATATATATTTTTAGTTACTTTTTTAGGGCTGGAGCGATAGCACAGCGGGTAGGGCGTTCGCCTTACAAGCGGCCAACATGGCCGACCCGAGTTCGATTCCTCCGCCCCTCTCGGAGAGCCCGGCAAGCTACCGAGAGTATTCGATATGCCAGACACAGTAACAACAAAGTCTCCAATGGAGACGTTACTGGGCCCGCTCGAGCAAATCGATGATCAATGGGAGGGCCTTTACCTTTACCTTTAGATATAGATTGTTGTGGAGAAACCTGAGGTCCTTCCCTTTGTTTCATGCTGGCATAAAATATTTCTAGTAATTGAGGTTGAAACAAAACAACTTTAACTTTTTTCATGGACCGAACAGAACTCTTCATGATAAAGTCTTCAATGGCATCAATGATGGATTCAGCAACTTTGACTGGATCTTGATTGGCTTGTCCTGAAGAACCAAAAAATACAAATATTTAGAAAAGGAAGACCTACCTATAAAGAGCTGAAAAATAAATTTGTGGCTTCATTATTCATAGAAAAATGTCCATGCCTCAACACTTCCATCATGGTATTTTTTTTTTCCTAATAAGACAGCATAAAACATTTCTAAGGTCCTAGATGCAACGGGAGTTTTGTTTCAGGATGGAAGGAAGTCAACAACCTGACAATGAATACTCATAGCCCTAACTTTGTTGTGTGATGTCTATATATGCTCTGTGCAGTGCTTACTAGCTGGTGGTGTTCTTTTGAGTTTGGGAGTTGAAGATAGTATTTCTTGCATCATTAGTGTTCCAAATGTATCCTTAAAAAGCAAAAGATGCTGATTTATGTTGCAAGATTATGAGCTATAAAGAATATACATATTATTTTTTTTGCTGTTATAATTTGACTTTTTCTTGAATTTTATATCTTAGATGTATTTAAAGGATATATTTAAATTAACCTAGAGTAACACCAGGAATAATGATCTTTATCTGGTTGCACACTAGTTATACATGAGCTTTCAGGAAGAATTTGCTTCTTCACACAGTGAGTTTTTTTTTTTTTAAATCAACTAGAAGAGTTCAAGCTTGCCCCATAAACATGTTCTATTTTCATCATGTTCCATATATATTTTCACACCAATGTCTTAAGTGAGATCATCATAAATCTTAAGAAAATCAATGGAAGAAATCCTATATCAGTGGGTGCTGACCAAGTCTCATGGAAGGAATTTAGCGTGAATGTCCCTTGACTAACTGGTCTGATCAACTTAGGATTCATCTGATTTTTCCTGCTTTCTTTCTCTACCATTATTACAGAAAGAGCAGGCTTCTTTGACAAGTCATTGGAGACAACTATGCCTCCCCACCGAGCAAACCAAGACAATTTATTTGTTTATTTAGATTAGATGGTCATGGGAAGAAGGAAATTCTCTCTTTCAAAAATGTGGTGTTCTTCTGGGAATATATCTCGAGGATGCAAAAATGCACAGTAGAAATGGCATATGTACCTATATGTTCATTGCAGCACTATTCACAGTAGCCAAAATCTGGAAAGAACCCAAGTGCCCTAGAACATATGACTGGTTAAAGAAACTTTGGTACATCTACACAATGGAATACTACACAGCTGTCAGGAGAGATGAAGTCATGAACTTTGCTTATAAATGGATAGACATGGAGAGTATTATGCTAAGTGAAATGAGTCATAAAGAGAGGGACAGACATAGAAGGACTGCACTCATTTGTGGAGTATAAAACAACATAACATGAGGCTGACACCTAAGGATAGTAGATACACAGGACAGGAAGATTACTGGAAGTCAGCCTCGTGAACAAAGGGGAGAAGACAGCTGGAATAGAGAAGGGATCACTAAAAAAATGATGGCTTGAGGAACCGGTCGGGATGGGAGATATGTGCTGAAAGTAGATGAAGGACCAAGCATGATAACCTCTCAGTGTCTGTATTGCAAACAATAATGCCCAAAAGTAGAGACAAAGTTTTTGCAGGAGTGCATTTACATTTTCCTTATTTTTCAACAATAATTTTTAAATTATCTTATTTAAACATTTTATACTAAGCATCTATAGGTGATTTACAATTCAGTTTATAGTGATGTTTCAGGCTGTCATACCACGCCCTCTACCATATGTCAGCATCCCTCCAACCTGTCCCTCGGTCACCTCTCATCCCTGCCTCTCACCACAACCAACTCAGTTGGTAGCCGACTCTCAGGGTCTGTAATCATTGACCATTTTATTTGGTTTTGGGGGCGATCACACCTCCTGCCTGTGTTCAGGACTTGCTCCTGGCTCTGTAGTCAAGCATCACTTCTGGTAGAGCTCAGGGGAACCTATGTGATGCTGGGGATTGAACTTGGATTAACAACATGCAAGGCAAGCACTTTACACGCTTTAGTATTTCTCCAAACCCACACGGGCTATTTTTTTATTCTCCTACTGTTGTTTTATACCCTACATATGAGAGATATTATTTGGAATTAATTCTTCCTTGAGTCACTTAATTCATCCTCATGTGCACATAGCATCAGTTTAGTTCTCATATCAGCAACCTGCAAGATTTAATCTTTTCTTACAGTTTAGTAGCATTCCAGGGTTTCTTTATACATTCATCTGTTCTTAGGCACTTGGGTCGTTTCCAGATCTTGACTATTTTGAACAGCACTGAAATAAACATTAGAGTGCAAATACCCTTTTGAATTAATGTTTTTGTGCCCTTGGGGCAGACGACAAGAAGTAGCATTGGTGGAAGTTCAACTTAATTAACTTTTAGCTTTTTGAGAAGTCCCCATAATGCTTTTTCCATGGAGGCTAATCCACATGCCACTCCAACCAAGAGTTGATGAGGTTCTCTTTTTCCTACATCCCTGTCAGCAATGGTTATTCTTTTCTTTTTGATATATGTCAAACTCACTGGTGTGATAAAATATTTTATTGTCATTTTTATTTTCCTGATAGGTGATAAAGAGCCTTTTTTCCATATACCTCTTGACTACTTTATGCAGTCTGTGCCTTTTCTGTTTATTGACATTTTGGTTATAGCATGTCTTGATGTTGTTAAGTTTATTTTGCTTGCAATTCTGGACGTTTTGTATCAGTGCATAAATCTCCTCACACTGGAGTTCTTGGTTATTAACTTTTCCATATGTAATCCTTTCCCTTTTCTCTTTCTTCTCCATTAAGAATTTCTATGATTTGGAAGTACTCTTGCTATCGTCCAGTAAATCAGTTGTAATCACTTGTTCATTGATTTGCTCAAGCGGGCGCCAGTAACGTCTCCATTCAACACATGCTAGTGTACCCCAATGGCATCTGCTCACTCCAGGAACACAAAGAACATCAAACTCTTTACTCAGGGTCTTGATTAAGGAGTTTGACCATCTTGTAGGTGGGTGACCAAGTGTTCTTTTGATGTCCTGTGGAATCCAGTTGGTAACGGCTCTAGTCCAGCAGTCATCTCCAAATAGTATTATCGTACACACTGGCAAATGAGGCAGCATCTCTGATCTTCCATCGTTGATGGAGGTCGGAACTCCAGATTCCTTCTCTCACTTGAGTTAAGCGTGATACTCCAAGCATAGCTCTTTCGATTCCTCTTTGGGTGATCTGAAAAGCATTCTCATTCTGTTTTTGTAGGGCCCAGGTCTTTGAGGCGTATGTTAGTGCAGCAAGAATAGTGTTGTCGAAAAGATGTATTCAGAGCCGGAGATGTTCATTCCATTGAGAGCAAATGGAACATCAGGAACTAGTTTATTTTTCATGAACATTGTCTTGGTGAGATTCAGCTGCATTTTGACCTTTCTACACTCATGGTCGAAGTCGGCCAGCATTTGTGCTGCTCTGCTAATGTTTGGTGTTATTAGAATGATATCAGCAAAGTGGAGGTAGTGTAGTTGCCGACTGTCTATCTTCACTCCCATTTTTTCCCATTCCAGTTGTTTCATGATATTCTCAAGGATGGCACTGGAGAGTTTTGGTGAAACGGTATTGCCCTGCCGAACCCCTCTCTTTATGTCAATGATCACTTCTTGTAGAATGATGAAATCCTGGTGGTGAATACGTAATACAGCTCACGAAGGATCCTGATGTACTGAGTTGGAATGCCCTTTTTGGCTAGGGCTTTTATGACTGCTTCAGTCTCAACAGAATCAAAGGGCTTCTTTATATCGATGAACATTAGACAGAGCGGCATCTTGAACTCTCGCGAAACCTCAATGAGCTTGGTAACCGTGTGGATATGGTCGATTGTGTTGAATCCTTTTAGGAATTGCTCACATGATTGTCCTTCATCTAATGTTCTGCCTATTCTATTCAGGATGAGTCCAGTGACCAACTTGTAGACGACGGACAACAGACAGATTGGGCAATAGTTGCCAATGTCATGGATGTCTCCCTTCTTGTATAACAGAATGGTCCTGCTGAATTTCCATTGGGATGGAACCATGCATTCAGATAGGTAGTGTGTGAAGAGCTGAGCCAATGTATTGATGAGTACTGGCGGTAGATTCTTCAGGTGTTTGGGTCTGACCTCGACTGGGTGCTGTACGCTTCTTTACCAACGAAATAGCGTGTCGGATTTCAAAAGGGATAACATTGGAAACGACATATCCATCCTGCGGAATTTGGTATGTGGACAGGTAGACTTGGCTATTGAAGAGATCTGAGTAGAAGTCATGGATAATCTACTCCGTTGCGCTTCTGGAAGATCTGATAGATCCATCAGGATGTCGGGGGGCAGTCATCTTGGTCTTATAGTTGGTGATTGTTGCAAATACTTTTCCTGGCTTCTGCCATATGAACCAGCACTGCTGCTCTTCTCTCTTTGAGGTCTTCCTTTATCGCTTCTCTTCACAGCTTTTCAAGCTTGGACGTTTGCTTGTGATTGCATGAGGCTCCTGCTGAACCATGTTGGCAAATGAGCTCGAGTTTCCAACTGTTTGTGACTTTCCCACTCTTGGTATTGCTTGCACAGTCATGGAAGTGCTGAACCAGTCAATCGTATTCCTCGTCAATGCTGTCAACAATGGTATCTTTACATGTTGCTGCAATAGTGCTAAAGAGCTCCCAGTTGGTGGTCGTTCTGGGAGTTCTCTTCTTAAAATTTGCAGCCTTTTCTCCCTGCTCCATGAAGTAAAATTTTATATGAAGGAGACGGTCTTCCAATCCTGTTTGGAATTTTGGGACAACAACGACATCAGTCCGGCAAAACTGTCCATTGAATATGATGTGGTCAATTTTATTGTGGAACTGTCCACTGTCCCATGTCCAACGTTTAGATTTGGCCTTCTAGAACTGTGAGTTACCATGGATGGTCTTGGTCGGCATGATGAACTCAGTCTCTCACCCTGTTTATTCCATTCTAGGCCACTGGTTCTGATGTGGAGTTCTTCAGGCGACCTTCTCAGTCAATTAAATATGTTAACATTTCCTCACTAGAGATGTCTTT